TCGCGGCAGAGAACGAGTTGCAGGGGAAAGCCCCGACGACGGCCGGGGAAAGCGTGGCGATGGAGGGCGCAGCAAGCGTTCTTTGCTTCACCGATCGGAGGAAAAGCGATTGCTGGTGCTGGTGCTGGTGCTGCAGCTGCAGCTGCATCTGCTGCTGCTGATGTTGTATTTCCATGTCCGCCAGCGTGCGTTTCAAGAGGGTTCCTCCTCTTCCGCCCGCGCCAAGGCCGAGCTCTCGCCCGGGGAACCCAGACGCCATGTCCGTGGAGGAAAGAAGGAAGAAAGGATCGGAAAGAAGAAGAGGGCAAAAAAGGAAAGAAGACGAAGATTAATATTTATGGCGACGAGTTCTCCCTCTCCTCGTCTTCTCTACCGTGGCAGCATCGCATCTCCATTGATCAAACGCAGAAGAACTCTACCCATCACCAAATAAAGTCCCTCACTTTAACGCCACCACCAAAGAATAAATAGACGAAGGGTACTCGTCTCTTTGCCCCGTGTATCGCGTACCAGCCAGGAAAGGGCTAATGTGATTGGCTAGGCAACGGAAACCGGCAGTTAGCGGTGGGAAAGGCTTGAATCGCGTCGGTTCACCGACAGGTGCAATGTATCTCCATTCCCCTCTCAGTTCCCACTGATTTCAAATTTCCAACACGAAACGTAAGCCCATACGAAGTTACCCGTGCAAATACCACCTACACCCGTGCTTCGGATAATTGGATCTCGAAACGGTAAAGAGACGATTTCGAAGTCTGATGCCTAAGCACACACGAACCGACCGACGGCCTCACCGCCGCAGCTTCAAGCGGGCCCACGAGAGAGCCTCGGGCGGGGCCCATCTATTCCTCCAGTGACAAAGGGATAAGAGCGTGACGGGTGGCCCATCACCGCGTAATCAACAAATGATAATATGTTAACAAGGTCGGGAGGACGTGGGAAGTGCCACGTGTGCGGAGCCACAAGGAACGTTGGTCGTGGGTGAGACCGCCGTCCGCCGCAAAAGGGGCCCACCCCAAAGTGCTTCTTTTTTCTGGTCCACGAATGTTTGTGACACACGACACTTGTGCTACCCCCACCTTCTCAGCACAAATTTGGGCTCCAGCGAGGAGTAAGGCTCAGATTTGGTAGATTTACTAGGAAAGATGTGTAAGAGTTGATTTATTTCACATCCTCCGATGAGTTGTTTTCATCCGAGTGAAAAATGAAATAACATCGACTTGTTAGTGCCTGTTAGGTGAAACCACATACCTACTATTGAACTCTTCTAACCACAAACCTAACGATAAGAAACAATAAGAATAACATGCATGAGACCCTTTTCTTTCCCACGTAAGGTAGGAAGTCCCTCTTCCGAGCTCACCGTCGAGACGTCCTCCGATCCTCTTTACATTATTTTCATTGTCATTATTTCCGGCTTCCAAAGCCTTTCTAGTTTCGGCCAATCAAAGGCCAACCTCCCTGTCCTGATACAACATATGGAAAGAAGATCTGAAAGGATACAGTTTGGATGGTAGCCGATGCAGGAGATTGTAAATCCACAAAAACATCTTGTTTACCCGTGACGGAAGGTGGCATCGGTTAATTGATCAGAAATTGGGACCCAATCATCACCATCATCATCATCAATATAAATAAATATATATATATATATATATATATATATATATATATATATATATATATATAT